AATTTCAAAGTCCCATTTGAGTTCCGCGAACCGTACATTTTAACAGGTTATCGAAAACCTGAGATCTCTGCACAAGAATGTTTACAAAGCTCCTTCAGTCGCTGCAACGAAACCATCAACGTCTGGTCGCACCTTGTTGCATTTGCATTCGTCCTGGTTCGATCCATGGTCGTGCTTTCAGAACACAATCCCCTTGAAGATCCGTTTGCTTATCCGATGATTTCATTCGTTGTCGGTACATCAGCTATGTTTTTAATGAGTTCAGGAGCGCACTTGTTTAACTCCATGTCAAGCAAGACACGCCATGTTTGTTTCTTCTTCGATTACGCAGCGATCAGCGTGTATGCCTTTTCTGCAGGCCAAGCTTTTTACTTCTACTCAAGACCTCTGAAACTAGACTGGGTAATATTCCGTTCGTATCCGTCCTTCGTGGCTTTATGTACGATCGTGTCGTGTCTATCGTTGTCTTCCTGCTGTGCATCGAGACACCGCTGGATTGGACACAAGTTTTTAATTCGCACCGGAACGTTCATGGCCTCATTCTTCATCAACACATCACCCTATTGGGTTCGAATGTGGGACTGCCAATCAGATATAGACTGCAATTCTGTGTCCATCCCCTATTTCAAGAGGCAGGCCTTGTTCTTCGCCATTGCTGCCCTGGCAAATGGTAGCAGATTACCTGAGCGACTTATGCCCGGCGTGTTTGACTTCTGTGGTCAGAGTCATCACTTTTTACACATCCTGTGCGCTATTGGTACAGTAGATGAGTTTACAGCTCTTTATTTGGACATGCTAGGGAGGCGAAAGGCCCTTGAGTTGTCGCATGTGACTCCCACGTTTGCTAATAGTCTTCTGCTGACTACAGTGGTCTTAGTTGCTAATGTGGCAATTGTCTTATGGTTTACCCGTGCGATCAAGTCCAATGACACTGCATGTAAGAAAAAAACTTAAGGTAAACCAAACTAACCCTTCAAGTAGTTACATGTAAAGCATGGCTCACAGCAGCAAAATAGGCCACCTCTGAGTTCCAAAAACCCTTGCTTTCAAAATGAGGCCAAGTGCACAGCCTTTCTTGGGAAAATAAGATTTATTTGCATGAGAATGAAAAATCATTTCCATATTAAAGGCTGAGCACTGAACCTCATTTTGATACAGAGGCCCGGGGGAACTCGGAAGTGGCATATTGTATTGCCCCCCTGACTCCTGCCCCCAACAATATTTATACACCAACCATGGATACCCTGTGTGCCAGAGACTTTTCATGCACAGTTTCCAGTTTCAGTCAAGTCTTTATAGTGACCCATGCAAAAAGTTTTTTCTTGTGAATTGCGGCTTGTGACTTCAGCCTTCAACCGAAGAATCTGTCAGCCTGGAGCCGACATGCAAGAAAAAACCTCTGGTACCCAGGGCAATCATGGAGGAACTATAGCATTGAGATCCCACATTGGGTGATGCTCGCCTTAAACAATAGGGAGGATAAGCAAAGACGTTTTTGAGAGACACATGTTAACTGGAAGTGAGGCTTTTCCCTTGACTGTGCCTTCAGGTGCTACCAAATCTTTATTGTTACAGGGCTGTCATTAAGAGGCGGGGGCTGGGGATTTCCCCTGGCTACTATGAACATGGCCGTGGCTACTTTCATAGCAAAACAAACGAAAAATAGAACCAAAAGAAATCCTTGTGTTTGATTCCCCCGCCTTTTTGCTGTGGGCAAGTTGAAATCTGACTGCCCTGTTGCTAAGTGTGTCTGCTCTTACACAGACAATTTACCAGAAAAAACTGGGTATAACAACTGCCTAAGAATGCAACCAGACCACTTCCAGTTGACGTGCATTGCTCAAGAACTCCTTTGCTGAAGCTCTCTTATTTTGGCCTTTTACCCCAAACTCTCACTGCAATCACCATCCCTATCAGAATTACCAAAGACCCTCAACCCTAATGGTGATTAAGGCTTATTTTTCTGGAACCAGAAATGGTGACATGCATAATGCATGAACCAATAACCCAGAGCAAGTAACTTCAATGTACTCGTGTCATAGCAATTTCACCAAACAGCTTATATTTTGAACGATTTTGGCAGGAATTTAGAATGACTCCCAAGTCCACACATCAGTCATCAAAACCTACAGACCTTAAAAAAGGGTATTTTCACCTTTTAATGATTTTTACTTTTGGATATCGCGGGCTGATCAAGAGAAGATTTTATTATCACAGTAAAAAAGCAATCTAAACTGTATCTAAAATAATATAAACTGGTCTATGAAAGAGACGTGTCATAGGTCTAGAATGGGAGTTGCTAGCTTTAGGTTAAAGGCTCCTGCATAATGAGATAATAACATTAGAAGCCTATTATACTACTACATGAGAAATGTCTGCAATTTGATTGGCTAAGAGCAGTGGTATTTCAGCTTAATTGTGAAAATTGCAAACCTTTTGTGGGTAGTAGTATAAAAACATAATAACATGATTTGTACGTGATATTTGGCATAAATACTACTTGTGATATTTCAAAATTGTCTCAAATTTCACTCGCCTAATCTCTCTTGAAATTGCGTATAACAATTTCAAACTATTACTCATGTTATTTAAGCCAAATATCACTACAAACCATGCTATTACCTGTACAAATAATAGAGTGATTTCTTAGAAACCACTGGTTTTATACATTGGATTTTAAGAACTTTCCGTAAATTAGAGCACAGATAGTATTAGATTTATTAAAACACAATATGCACTTATCATACTTAAAATGATAAAAGACTTTTGCATAAATCATTTATGTTATTTTCGTATTTAAAGGGAGACACATGTTAACATTATGTGGCAAAAAGGTCTCTTCTGCTGAAAAATTACCGTATTTCCCTGAATAATGCTGCAGCGATTATTCTTTTTTCACCAAAAAGGGGGTGATTGTTCAAGGGAGGAGATTATTTCAAATACTGCTCATCACTGGAAGTCATGTCCTAAATATTTTGTTTTGTTATCCCATTAAATCAAAAAAATAATCACATCGAATAAACAACAGTTTGGTTCCTTGGTTAATTTTAACTGTCAACGTGCTCATCGTCAGAGTTTGAATCATCACTGATTGGTCAGTTTTGCTGCATCAGACTCCACTTCAACTTTGTTTGTCAATTTTTAACTTGGCAGGGAGGGGATCAAAGGAAGAGAAGATGGCAAGAGGGGTTGGGGAAGGGGCAGTTATTCAAGGGGGGTGATTATTTTTAATATAATTCCATCAAAGGGGGGGTGATTATTTGAGGGAGGTGATTAATTGAGGACAGCGATTATTTGAGGAAGCATGGTATGCAATTTTTCCTGAGACTATTTTGCTTAGAATGCATATTAATGTTCAACTCACAAAAGCAATGGAAATTTCTGAGGCTCTAGATAGTATTTCTAAAGCACATTAACCATAAATTAGCATTTACATTTCTTATTTTGTCCAAATCATGCCTTTTGAAAAGATTTGTTGTGGGTTGTGTAATTAAATTCAATTCAGTTCAATATTTTAATGTGAAATGTTACCATAGCATAATACAATGTATCAGTAGCCTCTGTTCCCAATATCCACTATAAAACAACAACAAGAATACAAATTCTCCAGATGGATCTCTATAAAATTTGTTAAAAGAGTGTGATAAGCAATCAAAGCATTTTCCCTTAGGCAATCATTTTAGTAATTCTCATTTCAATTTCTCTGGGTTTTGTATTGATATTGTTGATATTGTTTATCATACTGGGATGTTTACGCACTGGGCAGTTTGACTGTAATCAAAGTTTGTTGTTTTATTTACATTATTTTTAAGAGGGAAGATTATTTATTTGTTTTAAAGCCATTACATAAATGATAGTCACCTCTTGACATAAAAGCTATGGCAATTCTGTGTTTTTGAAAAAGGGTATTTAAATTAGTTTGTGTTTTTTAGAAAAGTATTGACAGTTTTTAACGTCCATTTACGTTAAAGTTTCTGACAAAATCACACGCAATAAAGGGAAAAACAAATTGTGCCACCATCTCGTCATTTCCTTAGTCTGTAATTAATCTTATCGACCATAGCCCTCGACCCATCAGCGCAGGAAAATTCACCTAGTTATTGTAAAATACAATTTTAATTATCACAATTTTTATTAGATGCCCTTAATAAGTTGTAATACAGTGATGGCCAAAGGGCAGTACTCAGCTCTTACAAGGCCTCACAGCATTGGTAGAGAAAACAAACAGAACTAACGATAGGCCCTACATGTAGCTCTAAAACAATAGAGGTATGTGCCATGGATGTACCAATGAAATTTGAGGCTCTGGAGAGCTCCGTACTATCTGATAGCTTAAAGACAGTGTATGGATGTAAAAGCACTCTTAGTAGTGCCTTGTTACTCAATAAAGGGCTTTCCCTGTCGCGTTGTTGTTGTACGCTTTGTCTTGTCTTTGTCTTGAGCGTTTTCATCTGTTAAACTTGTATTAGATGCCCCTCTCTAATAATTAAACACCCCCTGTCTAATAGATGCCCCCTATGAGAATTACTCCAAAATGCTAGGAATAAGCAGAAAAGGAGCAAAATCATTAAATTCATTCAGGTTTTTGCTTGATTAACGAGGCTTTGCGTATTTCATCTTGTTCAATGTTACGTCGAAAGTAAGAGTAGACCAACGATGGCAACACAAAAACCCCGAGCGAGGACGATGACAACGAAAACGCACACTTTTGAAAACGCGTTAGTGTAGCCAGGGCCTATACCTACCAGCCTCGTACCCAGTCGCTATTTATGTGTTTTTAGGGTGAGAGAAAAATGGCATTAGGTTAAGGCCCGCGAAGATTCATGGGAAGGAACTAGGAAAAAGGAAAGGGAAGAAGGGACGCTACTTTTCCTTGCCCCTTCCCATGAGTCCGCGCGTGCCTTAAGCAAACTACAATCTCTTCTCACATTAGACTACGAGTAGTCCCCTATTTTTCCTCAGGGATAGTAGAGCGTGCGAAACGCGAGCGCGCGTGAAAATCGCTACACGCGAGAAAAGGCGACAAGCTGCGGGAAGAGAAAAAAATGATTTTTCTCTCTCCCCGCCGCGTGTCGCCTTTTCTCGCGTGTAGTGATTTTCACGCGCATGTATCGAGCCACCTTAAGTCGCGAGCCTCGAGTTCTTTTCAATGATAGCTCACACATCGCCTGCCCAGCGCAGCTATGGCATTCAGCGAAATTCACATTCGATTACTTGCTGGAGCCTCTTAGTCCAAACTGGAGATTCCTTATAGTTGAGTGCGGCGCGAAGTCAATCAGATGTTTTTCCTGCTCACATTTCTTAGCGCCGTCCGCACGATCTGTACGCCTGGAACAGGCTAAGCAATGTCACGGAAATGAGAAAATCTTTTTCAGCCCTAAATGATCCAATTCAGCCCTGTGCATTTGCCTATTCCAGCACACTTTGGGACTAATTTCAGCCCATGAGTCCAAATCAGCCCTAGGTAATTAATTTTATATGAAATGTATTCGTGCGGATTAAGAGAACTAAATTAAAGTCGATGAAAAAACAGTCTTTAGTTTGGTCACAGAAACGGCTTCATTTTCGGGGCTAGATTATATTTAGAGTGTAATCATTAAAACTCAGGCTAAGTATTGACAGAGTTGCTCTTGTCGAACTCCTTTCTGTTTTATACTTGCGTTGGATTTGGTTTGTAGACAAAAGTTTGTTTTTAAATAGCTAGAAGCTAAGCTTCCTTTGTTTCGTTTCTAATTAAAAATTCGGCGGTGGCCTCAAAAGGAAAACCGTCTAATTGAGGATATGACGTAACGAGGCAGAGACATTCATTTTCTACTACACCTGCGTCATAAGTGCGAATAAATTATCCCTTGAACATCGTACATTTTAAAAGGTTGAGTTCTTTGTCAAGCTCTGCGGGGAAGAATAATTCATGATGAAGCTCCTGGCCGTCGCTTTGGTGGTTCTTGTCTGCATTTCAGTCGCAGTCGTAGATGGAAGAAAGAACAAGAGAGGGAAGGACCGTCTCGAGCATTTGGAGAAGCGAAGAGAGTTCCCTAGGAACAGAGTGAAGGGAAAACCAAATGTTGTTGAACCCAGTAATGACGCTGTTGCTAATAAGGTAGGGAATAATGTAAAAAAAACTTCACGAATCAGTTGTATTAAACCGCTGGAATGTTTCTAGTTAAGGAGACCTTTATATTGCGCATAACAACTGTGAAATTCAAACTGAAGGTAGGGAAGTATTTTCGAAATACGTCGAACTGGAGAACTTGAGTTTTCAATGTCTCAGTGTTGTTTGACATATAAACTCGGCACAACTGACTCGAGCGCTTTTTTTTTCTTCTTACGCGACTACACACAAGATCCAAGCCATTATGGAGCTTTCAATTGCTCTGCAACAGTTTGCGATGATTCAAAGGATTTCGCTAAAGTAACAGTAGATTCGCATTTGTTTTTTCCGCTTAGTACGCTTGAAGGAATCCGTCGCTTCGACTGAGTCTGGAAGCCCAGTTTAATTTATACGAAACGCTTATTAAGGCCCCCAATTCAATCTTTACTATTTTCTAATGCTGTTGCAGTTTTGTGGCTTTTTGGTGCAACACAGATTATGAAATCGTTAGAGATGATAGCATTGACGAAAAGCACGGTGTTGCGGTTTTTATTAGTTCGCGAAGACGGACGCAGATTCTGCTGCGGCTTTGTACGACTTTACCAAATAACATGCAAATATGCGCTCCCCTCAAATGTTTATACAAAGTATTGATACTCTAAGAATAAAAATAACTGATACGGTTTTTTAGATGCTTATAACTTATAAACATAAACCTTAGTATAAAACTAGAAAGGTTCATCTCTCGCATAGTTGGTAACTGAAATCTAAACAGAAAAGACCAGTTTGGAAGTAGATATTAATGAAGTACCGTGCGTTTTTGCTTTGTGCTGACTATATAATGCTATGATTAGTTGAGGTTCAGTAATCAACAGAATTTCTTCTAAATGAAAGAGACTTTATATTTAAAGTTCAAACATACTCAATATGGTTGCAATGCTTCTCAAAAAAACAAAGCACATCAAGGTAAAGAGGCATTCATCTTAAGTTTGTCTTGAAAGTAGCTCCTACTATACTTGTAAACTAATTAGTGAAAGATCGATGAACTAACAAAAACAAACGGAGTAGCTTATATTTGCATCCCCAAGAGATCATATAATGCTAAATGCATGTTACTTCGACGCCATTGAAGAAAGTGAGACGAAAGTCATAAAGTAATAATTATTGAAACTCATGGCCACTTCAAATCGATCATTTTCCTGTTCGAGTCATGTCCACTTAGTTAGTGTTCTAGATCTAAATACTAGATCGGGTATACAGTGTATCATATATTTTAAAAAAACCTTTTTTTGGTAGCTGATATCATGTGATGTATACAGCAGTCATAGCGCGGAATATTTGTTGTGTTAGAAAATAGAAAATGATGATATCATGAAATCTCGGAATGTTAAACACTTTTGTATTGTACACCACCACGAAACCTAAAGATATCAACCTCACTAAACAATATTAGATTTTGCATTTTAATGAAGATTGTTATTGCGCAGTATTGATCAAGTTGAAAACGCTTATATTGCAGCTTCTCTTTTTCTACTTGTAACGGCTAGCATGCAGGTAACCGGGTATCAATAGCGTCCTATAAACTGCTCAACGCATCGATATTAAATCAAAGAAGAGAATTTACAAAACCAGTTCGAAGGCGTGTTTAGCAGTTACGCCTAGGCTCTTAGTAGATCATAGTTTTATTATATTACGCAACAAAAATGTTGTGATTGGCGGACGCTTTCTGCGATTTTGCATGAATTTGGTATGTCTGTCACACCAAGGGTTATGATTAGATTTGCTGCTCGGTTTTTGATGTTTGTTTTTTTAGTAATCTCCTCCCTTTGTCAAGTTTTTGTTATTTCTTTTTAAATTTAGTTGAAAACCTTTTATTATATTTTACACTGAATGGAAAAAAAATAATGAGCGCTTACACACTAAAAGTATTTAGAAGCAAAAGGATTATCTGCTTCTCAGTAGAGACTTCCCTCAGAGTCTTATATACGAATTGCTATATTCAATTAAATTAAAGTTAATAAATTGACTGCGACGGTTATCAGCGCTTTCTGATCTGAAGTAGAAAGAGGAGAAGATTTGTCTATGAATGTACAATTAGTAGACATTTAGCTGTCTTTGTAAATGTCCAGTTTTTTCAGTGACTTAGCCTTTTGTAATGCAACCAAAGCTTTAATGCTTGCGTTTATTGCCAAGCAAATCAATAAGTCAGTAACATAAGGGTCAACAAGGAATTTTTCTTAACAATCCCTAATCCTGGCCTTCAAATAAGCCAAATCCGGGATTCCGATAAATGTACTGGGACATGGCTTCGGTAACAATACATCATCTCTTAACTGTAATGATCCCAAAAAACTCGCATTGTGATATTTTGAGTAAAATTACATCGTTCTTGCAGAAGGAGGACGCCAAGGCAGGTCCGGTCATTAGCAACGATGCAAAGGCTCAAAAAGCTCAGAAACCCTCACATGAAGATAAACGAGACTTCAAAAATCATCACAAGAAACGCGAATTCAAGCACAACCAAGCTAAGCTTGACCTGGACCAAATGGAGAACGTCCACAAGCGTCACCATGGCAACAAGTTTGATATGCATCCCAATGACGTCAGAATGATCAGGAAGGGAAAAATGAGTCGTGAAATGTTGGTAGATAGAGATCTACCGGAGGCAGAGATCACAAAACGAATGATGAAACTCATGAAGAAGAGGGCTAAACATCAGATGAGGAACCATAGCCACCAGAAGAGTCGTGATCAGAAGCGCCGCTTAAAGGAAAATGCTCCTTAAGATGCTGTCTTTCCAGTTTGTGTTAGATCATATTTTTTGTATTAATCAGGTTATAGTAAGCTAAGGACCTTAAAATTTGACCACGGCGACGGGCAAAAAGTATGTAAAAGAATCAGTGGGTTTATGAACAAAACAACAACTTTGCAAGTGCATCAAGCTTTTTTGTACATTTCTCCGGCTGTCACTGCACGTCTACGACTTGAGAACTCGGCGACAAAATGTTCTTTCAGAACTAGGATACAGTTAACAGAAAATTAATCCAGCATTTGACAAAGTAAGTGAGTTGGAGCAATGGCGATGAAGATTGAAAACTGAACGCCAATTCACTTTTCAAGCGACGTTTTCGCTGTCGTCGTCGTCCTCAGATCTTAAGGTCCCTATAGTTAAGCTAACATGACCTAACACTGTTTTAGTATTTGTATAACACCCTTCGTTTCTTTTCACCAAAACTGAGTGGGAAGATTCTTGCAATTTTCGTAGACGAATGTGCAGTTTACTTTACGATGAAAAGTTGTTGGGCCGTAGAATCCTGCCAATATATATGAAAGGCATTTTTCATTAGTATAAGTACATGTATAATCAGTTTGGATTGTGTCTCCATTAAAATTGTTATTTTTAAATCAAGTGTGTTCTAGTTCTGTCATTCCCCTTTCGGTTTTAAGACTGCGTAGCCAACGCGATCGTCAGTGAAGGCAAAACTTTTGGCAGAGGCCGAGCTGCGAAGCCGTGCGGAGAATGTGAGCTCGTTGTTATCGCGTTTTCGGCGTTCGCTTACGTTGTACCCACATCTGGTCCGAATCCGATTTGTACACGCAATTGGCTGTCAGGAATGTGAAAGGCGATAAAAGAGCGCATGCTCGAAATAAATCCTCAAAATGACGACCGTTTTTCGACGTCTTAAACAACGAATTTGATAGAGCCCGTGAAGATAAGATAAAAAAGGTTTTATAAGTTATATTGAGACAGAAAAGTACTTCTTCCGTAAAAATATTTATTTGAACAGACCTGAAGATGAATTACACACGCCATAGCGCGCCCAGGAGTCAACACTCACGTCATTCGCTTACAATCTAGCCAATAAAAAAAAAATGAATTTTGTTACTTGACCAGATCTCGCCTTCGGCTTCTTCAACAAGAGATCTGGGTACAAGATTAGGCGTTCGCTCGAGATTAGCGGTTTCCTCGCCAAAAGTCTCACGCTGTTCTAGGCCCTTTTTCCCTTGTAAACCAAGAATTGTGATCATGCGTGGGTTATTAAGACAGCATGTAGATTAATAGACCAAATATGAATAACGCGGCCCAATTTAAGTGGTCACCCAAGCCACGCAAAGGTTTTTAGCCGTTAGCGGGGCAACGGCTAAACTTTCATCAGCTCAGTTATTTCAGGACCTGGAGAATAGCCCACTTTTGATAAGTTAAAATTCTTACATGGCTCCGATGCTTTAGGGACAAAATTGCAAAATCTTTCACGACTCCATTGTCTCGCAATTCCCAAAAGAGACTTGAGCACACTGAAAACCAAACCAAAATCCTCGGAGTCATGTTAGAATTTTCGAATTGGGGCTATTGGTTCGGTCCCAGGAAACGCGCACGTAACCTCCCGCTCTGCAGTCAAGAGCTCTACCGACTGATCTAATCCTGCCGCGGAAAAAGGTAGGGTTTTGTCTTGTTCCCTCTTCCGATACAATGAACAGTTAATTATAAAAGATTATTTGGATGCACTAGTTGCGCTGAAATCAGTTGGTGATGTTATACACTGACAAGAGTGGTTATTATTTACAGGGTGGACATTGCAATTACTGACACGAAAATGATTGAAGAATTCGGGAAAGGGATACAAGGGAAGCTTAACTTAATTGAAATTAAAAATTTGCCCCTACTGACACGTAAGCAATTGAACAATTCAAGCATGGAATCAGAAAGGATCAGAAAGAATTTTTCAAAGCTCAATTGCGATTGAGTAAGCTATAGACCAAGAGCATTGTGATGCTTCGAGAGGGATTCGAAAGATCACTTGAAACAATGTAAACGCGTTCGATCTATATAGGCCAAAAGAGTCCAAAGAAGACCAAACAAATTGCATAGGTTGTTTAGTCAGTTGATTTTAAAACGCTCAAAACTTATGCGACATTCAGTGCAGTTTCAGTTGTGAAAACAAAAAAATTAAAACCATGCAAACCGACAGTTTTTAATAAATCTTGAAAGCTAAATTCAGTTTAATTCCTGTTTACTGTCGCGCACATACACGAGCTAGAGTCAAGTATTGGCTTATTTTTTCAAGTACGTTTAATATTCCAATTAAAAGGATCACTTGTATTAAATCGCCATTGCGTCTTCATAAAATACTCAAGCTTACTCACCAAACGACTTTTACTCAATTACAAACTCATAAAAAAGGCACTTGCTCATTTTATGTTTTCAAAGGAATCGAGCTCTGAAAGATACTTGGAAATACCCTCTGGCTAGTAAATAGTTTGTAATCCCCCTTTATTCAAAAGTAGAATTTCGTGCACAGTCGAAGTGGCACTTCTGCTTACAGTGTCCATATTGCATTCATCTGCAATATCAAGTGCTTGCATTCGAGTCTCCCACTGGAATATTGGATTGTATTTTTTTAAGCGTGCTGAATATAACTTCACAATAAAAAGCATTAATACCAGTGCGAGACTTTCTTGAAGTGTCAACAGTAGATCACGCCATACTGCTTTGAAATTGAAAACTGAAAACATGGGGACAGTCTATTTGCTTTTGATGGCCTTGCATGTTATTGGTATTATTTCAAACATACGATTATTATTGAGCTGCTTTACCTACCGTAATAATTTCCAAAACAGCAATGCATTGGTTATCTTCCAATCCATCCTTCATCTCACGCTTTTGGCTCTGAACGCAGACGATACCATGAAGACATTTAGCACTGACAAACAACAACTGGAACGGAGTGATATAAACGGAGTCCTTATCACTTCCGTAGGTTTCTTTTTGGTTTACAACATAATGGCAATGATAGCCGTCGAATATCCCTCAGTATTCTGTCTTAAACAAGCGCCGTCTGCTCGAACAGCCATGTTTGGAACTCTTGTAGCTGGCATAAGTACAGTTCTATTCTGGACTGGCTTTTTAACTTTGGAACCGGCTCTGTGTAATTCTCAAATAGCTTCCACCATGACCTGCTCGCTGCTTCTTCTTATCATGGTTGCGGTTGTTTGGAGAATTTGTGGAGCAGCGGAACATGCCAACACAAGATTCGAAATCAAGCAATCCTCTGGTCATATAGTGGAGTTATTGAAAGCTGACAAGACTAGTGCATTCGTCGCCACTTGTTTCCTAGTACTCGTGATTTTCACTTTGAGTTTGTCCGCGATTGGATATGTACGAAACGTTCAAGAGGAACATTTGGAAGCGGTTATTTTCTTTAAGAAAGTGTTATATTTATTTGATATGTGTTTTGGTGTTGGAATTGTTCTTCCTCTAATTTCTAGCAGAGTGGTGGAGCAGATTGACAGATTTTCTAACGAGGAAATTTTGATTATTTGAGGATCTCAATGAGGTGGTAGCTTTACGGTTGTTAAGTGGAAATTTAGGCTCGGTTCAGACGCCGCTCCACTCATGTGCCGAACCTAACTAATGAATTAATAACGACAAAAGAGCCGCGTCTGAATCAATTTGGTACGGCAGTTTCACTTTGGTGCAGCAAAAGCGTTAAGTTCGACAGAGTCAGTCGAACTTTTGTCGAACTTAAGTTAGGCTCGAGACACGGTGCACCGTCTGAATCAAATGTGGCACCACGTGTCCCCCCAAAGTCTAACTTATTCAATTAGGTTCGGCACATGAAAAGGACGGCGTCTGAACCAGGCCTAAGTCCTCCGTATCCTGCGAGGAGGGACAGAAAATCATGTCTTAGATTCCGGATTTCAGGTATCGGATTCTTTCTCATTGGAACTTGGATTCCGGATTCTAATCTTTAGTGGGATTACGGATTCCTTGGGCTGTATTCCGGATTCCACAAGCAAACATTTCCCGGATTCCGGAATCCGAAGTCCCTTACATTGGGCGACAACGGATTCTTAACCATGTTATGTTCCTTTTAAATTATTTGTTTCATCATCCCTGGGAAGCGCCATAAAAAAAGAGAATAACAAAGTATTTAAATCTAACATTTAAATTAATGGAATCAGCCAGTGGCCAACAATCGGCGGCTTTATCATCACTGGCTCCCTGTCTAAAGTTCTGTTTATATTAGTTTCATAAATAATTTACAGCCACTGATCGTTGTCTGGAGACTGCATCACTTACTCACCCACGACTCTCACTTGCAAATTCATGAAAACGTGGTCAGCTCTGTTGATGTTCAAGAGATCTGGTATGTTATCATAATGAGAAAATCGGCGAGAAATTGCGCTAGAATGCAAGCGAGTCAAATATCAGGGCTAATCCTCAAAAGGGAGAGCATATAGAGCGGTTTTCATTTGAGTGTCGAAAAGTAATTGGTTTTGCACTTTCTACACGATGCGATTGGCTTAAAAGATTCGCGCCACCTTTTCATCCAATCAGAAGTAAGACCAAAGCCAATTGTGACGCGCATTTGCGTCAGCCACATGTAATTACTTCGAGTTTTGATTGGTTCAATGTATTGTCTGTGTCCTATGTGATTGGCCAGAGTAATTACTTTGGTTTTGGTTTTACGACACTCAAACGAAAACCACTCTATTTTAGGTGTTTTTCTGATCTGTACAACTATAGAAATTAAATCATATTTATGTGGCTCCCATAGAGTCTTGGGTGCCTGAGGATAACAAATAACTCATTCACTTGAATCCTGACGATTTTAAAGGAAAAACTGTTTTAATTGCAAGGATGGCAGCACTGAAACAGGGCATGGCGGCGGCTTTCGACTCAAAACGATTCTTCTTTAGGGCCAGTGATGTACTTAAGGATACGATTGCTTTTGTTGATCATGAAGACCTATATGTGTATGTGCACTCACACAACGTCAGATC